AGGGATATGGGAAGGAAAAGATGACCTTCAAAGGTCACTGTGCTTATCTTTCTGTCTTTGGGCAGGAGACCTGCCAATCAACAGGGTTAGGGTTCTCTCCAGGTGCTTGGACATTATCCAGTTCTGCTTGGTTCAGGGATATGTGTAATACCCTAGAGCCCATGTGATTGGTTCTTGTTCGTGTCTGTGGGTGTGGTTTCTGCTCTAGAGCCTAGGAAGCCAGCCCTGCCATTCTGGACAGCACTTATCCTTTCTTTGTTAAACCATTCCTTCCCCAGTACTCCTTAAGCAGGGCAGTCTGAGCCCCCAAACCCACAATGCACGGGCAGGAGGAAGTCTAGGTGAGGGGCATGATGGGGTAAGAGTGGGGGAATGAATTCTTTTATCCTCTCAAGCATCAGTTCTAGATTGCTCTGAACCAGGAACTTCTTGTTTTAGGCCTGAAGAGAAAGGCCACATGACCTTGTCCCTAGCCCAGCTATATCCAAAGTAGGCCAGATTCTCCTGGTTGCCATGAGAACACATCTTGATTGGCAGTGCCAACACAATTTCACACACTTGATAGCATTTGCTCTGCTCAGTACCAAGAGGGATCTTTGGGAAACAAGGAAACACAACTCAGGGAGATTACCACTAGGCCCAAGGTCACAGCAGACTGAGACCAGAGGCAAGCCACCCAAGCTGATCCTTGGTCTCAGGCCCTTCTCAGTTTACACGGTTCCTCAAAGGTGGGGATGGCTCTGTGATCCTTCAAGGTAACTGCCTGGCATCCTGCCTGCACCCTTTGAACGGTGTGTGAGGCCTTTCCACAGATGATAAGCTGGAGAGTCTCCAAGCAAGGAAACACTCCCCGAATCCGTCAAGTGGCACCAACAGCCATACTGCATCAGCTCACTATGAACTGCCACACATGGTTTGGGACTATTTCTATATGGAAGCCACAAAACAGAGGAATTGGAGGTAAGAGACAGTGACTCCACATATGGGCTCTATGGGTAGAGCTCGCAGGCTCTGTGCACCTCCTGAAATTCGTTGCAAGATCAGATGCGTTTGTCTGAGGAGAGTACATGAGGCTCTTCTGGAGCCTCAGAAAGATCAAGGACTCAATTCCTTGAGGATCATAGGAGTCACGGACCGATGGTTCCTCTAACCCTATATATGCTCTGAAAACACAGAAATCCAGTGTCAAGTCCTGGGGAGTAGCTCAATTGGAAGAATGTTTGCCTGGCATGCATAAGGTCTAGAGCTTGATCTCCAGTAGCAAATAAACCAGGTGTGGTGGTCATGCTCATAATCCCCCAGTACTTTGGGGTGGAGGCTAGAGGATCAGAAGTTCAAGGTCATCATGTGCTCCACAGTGAGTTAGAGGCCAGCCTGGGACATATGAGACCTTGCTTCAAAAAACCAAAACCCCAAACCCAAACATGTATCAACTATACAAGAAAGTACTATGTGAACGGAGGTGGTCAAAACTGCCCTGGCTCCTGCCAGGAGGAAACTAAGATGAACTAAGATGAAAATAGTATCTGGGGGGAGAGCCTCTTCAGACTGCAGCACAAATTCGGCTAGACATTCTGCTAGTTGGTTTCAGGGTCCTAGAAAACACCCTTCTCATTTGTCACAGACATTTGGACATGCCCGAGTTCCACTCCCACATGCTTAAGGCCAATGGCCATTTCCTGGAAGGGCCCTTATCCCCACCTTACAGGCAACACAGGGCAGCTCTCTAGGTCCACAGCCCTCATTGTCAGCCACAGGGCAAGGGAGCCCCAGAAAAGGGGGAAGTCTAATTAACCTTACCTCTTCCCTTTAGCCCTCCCAGGCCTGTGACTGGAGAGGTGCCAGGGATCCAAAGACACACGAGCAGAAGACCCTAAAGGGAGAGGCCCAGATTCCCACAATGCAATGTGTAATTATACCAGATACTTAAAACATCTGCCTCTTCCCTAAGACCTCAGCCTCCTCTGGTGAGCGTCTAACTCACGCTCACCAATGCCACCTTCATTTTCTTCCCTACCCCCCAAGAAGCACGTGCTTGTTAGCTTCTTCCATGCTTTCGTATTCTTCAGAGCGGTATGCCCAGGACTGGGGAAACAGCATGTGAGCCGTACAACCCTCTTACTGTCTATTGCGCAAATGGCTTATGATGGTCTAGAAAATCCATTTTCTGTGTGAAAGTGACAGAGTTACCATGGAGGCCATACAAGGTTGGCTTCTAATTTTTCCAAAGACAGAGGAATACATATCACTAAAGTTATGTGGTGTAAAATGTCATCTTTCTTTGATGATTCAACCCAGGAAAAGTACCTGAGGATCCAGCAGCCTCTGGGGCATCACCGTGGATGTCGTTAGGAAAAGCAGAGGCAAAGGTGGAAGCCTTACATCTTCCCAAGTCCCCTGGCCTCTACTTCTCTCTTTTGCAGTGCACACCTTAGGAACAAACTCCAGAGAAACATCATAAGGGTGTGAGGGAAGCCATGGTACAGAATCCAGGGAGATGTGGATCCAATTAGAGATTCTGGAAGCTCCTCCCAGGAAGTTCTCCCTACAGCCTCTTCTATCAGTAATGGGAAAACCTCACAAAGGTCAGCTGAGGTTTTCCCTCCCCTATCGGCAGCAGACTGCATATCTACTGGGGTCCTTCAAGAATATAAGGTCTGGGAAAAAAAAAAAAAAAGAATATAAGGTCTGTGTGAGTCTGGGCCACAAAGTCAGACAAAGCAATCTGATTACATTCTGCAGCGCACCTATGTGCCCTCCTGCCCCTGCCACGCAACAAGACCTGGTAGTACAGACTACCACTGTCCCCCCAAAAACCGAGAAAGGAAAACAAAAACTGAGAGCGGGTGACAGCATCAGGCCTTGAACTGAGGGAACAGACCAGATCTGTAGTTTGCCCCTAACCAGTGGGTGAGGACGAGGCTGAGGGTAGAGCACAGGCAGCCTCTGTCCTTGCTGGCCAAGAAACCAAGCCTAGCTTCTTCATTCTGGTCAAGACTTCTGCAGGGGCTCATGGCCAGGACCAGCCAAAGTTAGGGAAGGTGAAACAATAACACACAATATCTCCAGGAGGCAAATGACCTAGGGACTGAATGAAATCTCACCAGTCCCAGAGGCATGCCTCAAAAGCTGGCTTTAGCAGAAAACTGCATTCCCTGGGAACCCTTGGAAGAGGGTGACAGGTAGTGGGCAGAGAGGAAGAAGAGAACCCTGGCCCAGACCAAGCATACATCTCTGTATCCTCTCTCTGCCAACTATCCCTGGGGACCTGTGGAAGAGAGGAGCAGGGACAATGGT